GGGGGCGGGGGCACGCTCCGGCCGGAAGCGGAAGTGGCTACCTTGGTGGCGCCGGCGGCTCCGGCGCGAGCCCAGGTGGGGAGGCATAGGACTTTACGCAGGGAAACTGAGGCAGAGGTCGGACCCCGAATCCCCGCGTCCCTGGTGGTCGGACGGAGGGGGGCCCGGGGGCTGGGCGTGCCCGTCAGTGACCGCGTCCCCCGTCCCCAGGGATGGGCTCCAAGGCCAAGAAGCGCGTGGTGCTGCCCACCCGCCCGGCGCCCCCCACGGTGGAGCAGATCCTGCAGGACGTGCGGGGCGCGCCGCCCGAGGACCCCGTCTTCAGCGCTCTGGCTGCGGAAGGTAGGGGCGGGGGAGCCTGGGGACCCCGGCCCCGGGTGGCAGGTCCCGAGAGACGGTGACTTGGCGCGATTTTACCCTCGCTTCGTCCGTGACGTGTGGCCCGGGCCGTCCTGGTCGGGGAGATACACTGAACGTGGATACGTCACGTGGGACGGTAGAGGATGACGACGTCCGTGGGGACTGTTTTTCGTTAAGTAATTTTTACATGTTGAGTCGCTTCCTTCGTGCAGACGCCACACGTGGGTGGTGGCTGCCGTGGTGGACAGCACAGGCGGAGGACACGTTCACCGTCCGGAAAGTTCCAGACGGCGCCGCTCTAGGAGCGTAAGCCGACCTTATCCCCAGCGTGCAGCTGGGTCATCTGAGGGTGCCAGAGCCCCGGTTTAGGAATCATGGGCCCAGGCCCACCCGCATTTGAGTGTGGGGAAACTGAGGCACGGCGGTGAGGGGCTCACTCGGGGGAGAGGGGGCATTCTCTGTGGCGTGCTTCCCTGTCCCTGGGCACTGTCTGGCGTTCCCACCTTTTTACTAAAGCTGGCGGTGCTAAAGATGATGTTTAGTCGCCGGTGCCCACGGGCCTGCGCCACAGGTTGGACCCGCATCAGTGGGAACCCAGACGGCCACCGGGCAGGCCAGACAAAGGAACCAGGCCACAGGAGAGGGGACCCTGACGTGTCTCTGAGTGATCCTGAAGCCTGCGCTTAAGCCTGCTGTGCTTTCTGGGGAGCAGGGGAGTCTGTACAACAAACGAAGGTGGCCTCACCTTTCCCACAGTGTTGAGTTCCACAAGGTTGCGTGACCACTGGAGGTTTTGGGGAGCCAACTCCAGCGTGGGGTGGGCCTCAACGCCACTTGCAGGAATGGAAACCCACCCCGCGGAGGGCCACCTGACCACCAGGGTTGGGCTTTTTCTGTGACTCATTCCCCCAGCCACATCCTTTGCTGATTATGACCGGTAAGGGGGTCTTAACTTGGTGTTGTCAGCACCACACTCTCCCAGAGGAGCCACAGGCCAGCCTCTGAGTTATTTTATTTTATTTTATTTTATTGTTTATTTTTTTATAAAAGATGACCAGTAAGGGGATCTTAACCCTTGGCTTGGTGTTGTCAGCGCCACGCTCACCAAGTGAGGCACATCCCTATATGGGATCCGAACCTGTGGCCTTAGTGTTATCAGCATCATGCTCTCCCGAGTGAGGCACGGGCCGGCCCAAAGCATCTGTCGTTTTAAAAAGACCCTGCCCCGCAGGCTGCTCAGGGAGAACAAGGACCTCACCCCCACCCCACGGGGTGTTCCCACAGTGGCAAAGCTCACACATACCCAGTAGTCTGTAGTTGGGTCTTTCCTGACCAGCGGGCAGTGACGCTGCTGTGTCCTGTCCCCAGAGCCCGCAGACCCCCCCAGGAGGGCTGAGGACGCCGATGCCCAGCGAGAGCAGCTCTACCAGCAGAGCCAATCCTACGTGGACACCAATGAACGGCTGCGGCAGGCAGGGGACAGGCTGAGACAGAAATGCGCAGAACTGCAGCAAGCTGGCGAGGAACTGTGGCGGGACGTGGGCCAGGTGAAGCAGGCAGCAATGCCGGGAGCCTCGTCCACCTCCTCAGGCTGACCTCGCCTGTGGGTCTGAGGCCGAGCCCAGTGCTTCTCACCTGGGGACCAAATCACGCGCTGGCCCGGTTCATCCGTCCTCCCGTTACACTGAGCAGGTGGGACTCACTCAGCCGGCTGTGTCCATCTCTGTGGGAACCACAGGGCCTTCCCAAGGTTCTGGAAGAGGATGGGGAGGATGGCCACTCTGCAGTGATTGTGACCCCTTCTCGCCCACGGTGGCTATGGCTGTGATCTGGGAAGGGGCCTCTGGGAGCAGGTATCACCTCCTTCCTCAGACTGAGCACCTCATGGGTCGCTGGTCCCATGTCCTTCCCGTTTCAGAGCTCCTCCCACATGCCACGTCAACCTTCACAACAACCCTGGGCAGCTGGGGTCACCATTTCCACTTGTAGGTGAGATGGGCTCAAACCAAGCTGACCCCCTACCCAGAGAAGCAGCAGCCCCTGAGACCCCAGAGGCCTCAGCCTGGACTCCTGCAGGGCTCAGCGTCTCCCTGGTTGAGAGGACGGTCAGTCACTCACCCACCCAGAGCCCTGGCTGGGGTTTTACACCTGGGGGGGATGTGAGGGGTGGGGCAGGGGAGGATATTGAAATGGGCTTTTCATACTGAAAGGTAAATCAAGCAGAAGGTGGTCCAGAAGCTGGGCCTGAGTGTCCCCGCTGATAAAATCCTTTTGCACCTGGCTGGCTCTCCTAATGGTGCCTCTGCAGGGTCCTGGAAGCTCTGGGAGGAGTGAGCCCAGCCCACAAGGCAGGGCCCTGCTCAGAGCACTGAGTCCTGACCAAGAGCTATGTGCAGGGAATGTCCACCCATCTGATGTACAGAGGCCTGAGCCCTTAAAAAGGGGTACCTGCTTAAGCTTGAGACCCCCCAAACCAGAAACCGGACCTTGGGGGTTTTCCCATTGGCCATCTTCCCTGAAGCTTTGCTTTCTTGGCTAAGCATAGACACCCCAGGGTACTGGGTAAGGTCCATGCTGGGAGTCTGGCCACAGTGTCCTGGGTGACTGGTGTGGAGTTGGGGGAGGCAGGTGAGGCTGTGATTCCAGAACTAAGGAGCCTGGCCCCTGCCCGCCCCTTTCCCCACCTCACGCCGCTTTGCTTCTTGCAATGAAAGGCCCAGACGTCTTCGCTGCATCCCAGGCTGGGGCCAGGGCTATGCTCACTAGAAACGGCTTTGCCACATGGGTCCCCCGGCCCAGCTCTGCCCTGCACAAACGTTGGCTCTATTTATGGTGGTGGATGCTGTGGCTGCCCCATTCAGGACTCCCTGGCTGGCTGGCAGTTGCCCTCCTGCCCCAGGTGCAAACACCCGGGTGGGGCCTCCTGACTGGGGCACTGTCTGTCCTCCCCCTCTGGAGCTCCCTGTAGGACCAGGCCAGAGTCATCCCGCTGACCTTGCCCAGCCCCTGGCCATGCCTGGGGTCCTGTTTGTGGGCATGGACTCCAGGTGTCTATTCAGCACAACGTTGTCACCCTGCTCCTGGCGGGAGTGAGGCTCCACAGTCAGCGTGGGGACCAGCGGTGACCACGTGAGGCCATGCAGAGCCCTTCCCCGGCCCGTTGTGAACACAGGGGCTGCGGGTAGCAGGGGCGTTTCAGCAGCTCAGTTTATTAAAGGTGCACCAGACGCCTGATGGCTTTTCCCTCCGCCCGATGAATGGCTTTACACTTAGTGGGGGCGGATAGCTGGGGGGTCACTATTTACATGTCCGTTTAACACTGTGCAGAGACAAGCATGAGGACTGAGGTGGTGGCAGGAGGAACTGGAGACAAACCAGGCATGTGTCCTGGGTGCCAGGGTGACAGACGGTGGGGGTGAGGTAATGCTGTCAGCGCCAGGCAGGTGTGCCAGCGGGCCCCGCACTCTGCCTGAGGTCGACACCCAGGTGGTGGTGGTGTTTGGACTTGGGCTGGATCCCTCCCTCCTGTCCCGGTGGCCTCAGATCCTCACTTCTTCTTGAGGGGACCCTGTGTACAATGCCAGTGCCACCTGTTCTGGGGCAGAGAGACCAGGATTGAGCATTCGTGGGGGACATCGTTTGTATCAAGACTTTGGTGCCCCAGCTCAGCCTCAAGTTGATTCTCCAAAGACCACCGACCACCCAGCCCTGCCTGGAAACCACCACTCTCTTCTGTCTGTCCTGCCCCGCAGTCCCACCCCTCCCCAGATGGGGATGCAAAAGTGACCTCCAGACATGGGCATGGGCAGTGATGTGAGGCTCTGCTTCTGCAGAGAACACCCAGGGCTGGGCTGGGGACAGGCAGCTAAGGGGGCATCTGGCCAGACCTGGGTCCTGTGATCAGCGCTGGTGGCTCACCCGAGAGGTAGCTCTGGGAGTTCTCCCACAGCTCACTTGGGGAAACCGAGGCACAGGGCAGTGAGGGCACTACCCAGGGTCACAGTGCAGAGGAGGTGGGTGACCCGCTCTGCCCAGGCCACATCCCATGCCTGGAAGAGGCCCTTCTGTCTTGCCCCTTAAGGCTGCACCGGGGCTAGGGAGTTTCTGCATCCTGAGGGGGCTCCACCTCTGCTCAGCCCCTCTGTTGTTACCCACGGCCCCAGCAGCCCTGCTTGGTGGACGAGGGCCCAAGACAGCATCTGCGCCTCTGGACCTGCTGTGTTGCCTGCCCTGCCGGTAGCGCGTCTGTCCTGCAGCCATGGCGTTTTGAACGTGCTGTGCGTGATAGATGTATGCAGAAGCAGCAGCCATATCTCCGGGGTCGGGGCTGTGGTCAGCTCCTGCTGATGATGGGGATGAAGAGATGCTGGCACCTGCCCACCCCTTGACCTCTGCTGTGTGTGCTGGGAGATGGGGGACAGGCAGTGACAGCAGTGCCAAGGGGGGGTGGCTGGCTTCCTCATGAGTGTTTCCACTCTCCCAGAGAAAGAATGTAGAATCAGCTCATGGGACGGTATCTGTCCCCTGCTCCTGGGGATAGGCTCTCTGGCAGGCAGCTGTGGCAGCAGATCCGTTTGCAAAGAGCAGTTCCTTCCTTCTCAAAGCTGGGAACCCGCAGGAAAGAGGTCGTTGGCTCTCTCCGCAGGAGCTGAAATGGAACACACGTGCCCAAATCCCAGGGCAGGGCCCCCGTGGCGTCCCATGCACATGCCAACCAGGGTGTGCCCAGCGGTCCCGGGAGGCCGGGCTCCGAGGGGAGCTTTCGCCACCGCCTGCCCTGGCCTCTGGGCTCCTGTCTCCTTCCACGTCGTCTGGAACCAAGTCACCAGCATCTTCAACAGTCTTGTCCCGCGTTGAGTTTGGGCTCCCCCGGCTCTGGCCGGGGAGGATGAGGCACAGTCCCCAGTCCGCCTACTCCCAGCTGTGCTGTCCCTTCAGTTCCTGGGTTCTAGCGCTTCTCGCATTGTAAACAAGCGTGACATCAGATGGCACAAGACTAGCAGCAGCTGCAGCCTACCCTGGGCCGTTTGTCATCGTCGTCGCCCCCCAGCTGGCCTCCCCCAGCGTTTGCCCCGGGGCCTGCCTCCTGGTCCTTCTCCGAGGGGCCTCTCCTCCAGGGTCCCCTGGCGTCGCCGCCTGGGCGGGGGCTGTCTCTGTCGGGCTCAGCCACTCCCCGCGCCCCACGCGCCCCCAGCTGGGGCTGAGAATGAACACAAACCGGCAGCCCCGTCATTAACAAATTACCCGGCCGCCTAATGACAGGCTTCGTCCCCCAGCTGGCAGGCGCCACCGCGCCACCTCCCCGAGGGCGGCCCCACCCTCACCCGGGCTCAGGCAGCGGCTGCGGAGCCCGTCCTGTCCCGGGCCCGA